TTATTTATATTTGAAGACATATTAAAGACTTTAAAGCTTGTTTTCGACTCGCACTACTATTCATGATTAAACAAAACATTTGGCAGGTACTGCATGAAAAAGTATGTTTAATGAACAAGAGTCGAGAGTATAATGAGCTTTTTTCTCCCTACCTACGATTTTGCCAGCGCGCATTCAAGACATTGGAAGGGGCACATCGCTAGAGAAAGTAAATGAAGTATATCTATTTCGATTATACAAGTACAAGTTCTCAAAAATTCTGTGCGATTTAAAATTGTTAACCAAATTTCTTTGTGAATTTTAATTCCTAATTACAATTAATTTAAAAATGTTTTTTTGGTTAACAGGAATACATCAAATTTATGTAAGTCTTTATCAAATGATCTTGCAAATACATTATAATTTGGCAGCTACTGCTTTCCGTGAATGTTTTGGTGTAGCATGAATTCGTATAGGTACGCATTCTTCGGTTTTTTATTGTGATTAAAAATAAGAAGTAATTTAATCAAAATTCTTCGGCGAAGGCGGACTGAAAATAATTAACTGAAATGTTTTTTGACAAAACGGAAAAGATTACATGAACAATTTACCACGTACATATTTGCATCAAAATTAATATTGTATCCTTCATATAAACATGTAGATTTTATAGTTTGTGTTGACGTGTATTTTGTTTCATAGATCTTGGATCATTGGCTTCCGACTCTGACTTAAACACATTCAGCCGCTGATCGAGATACAACGCACTTAAAATACTATCTATTAAGCACGGCGAAACGTCTGCAGTTAAGCAAAGAGCAAGCAAAGCATCTCAAAATCATGGATTTAATTTGTCAACTAGATAACTTTTAAGCGGTATTGACAAAACAGTATTATATGAAAATAAATAAAAGTAACACAAAAATATTAGTAGGCAAGGGAAGAAAAAGTAGGGAGAGCGAATATAAAGATAGGAAACGATAGATTAGAAGAAGTGGCTGATTTTAGGTATATAGGAAGTCAGATAAGTAAGGACGGAAGGAGTAGTAGATATAAAGTAGAGGATAGCGCAAAGTCGAGTCGCCTTCAATAAAGAGAAGTCACTTCTATACTTGCGAACGATTATAACTTAGTAATTCGAAACGAAAAGGTTAGAAGTGTTCGAAATGTGGTGTTACCGGCGAATGATGAAGATACCGTAGATAAAGAAGGTTAGAATTGAAGAGATATTAGAAAGAATAGGGGACCAGAGGACTCTACGAAAGTCAATAATTTATTTTTTTGGAAGTATTCTAATAGTTGAACGAAACTAATCGTGAGAGTTCATACAATAGGATAATGTGGACTAATAATAAAATTACATTAATTCTTAAAAAAAAATGTAAGCCTTGAATTTCTGTTATGCAGATTTATTATCCAGGTCAGATCCGTTTGTGAATTTAAAGATATATATCTACGTAACGAGGGTAACCCCATACGGAAACTGTTTATCTAGAAAGTCCTGAAAATACACGATTATTTCCTGCGAGCTACATCACTGCATTCCACCAACGATTTCGCAAACCTACTACCGTGATGATTAATCCGATCGAAAGGCAGGAAATTACCGGGTATCTTGTGAAGAACAATAAATAGTGTTTACGACCCCGTGATAGAAACCAATTTCACGAAAATCGAACGGCCTTCTCGTTAAATACAATCATTCTAATACGTACTCGTCCATGTGGAATTAAAGTTAGTGTCGTGTAATGTCATCGTTGCCGGTTGTGAATAGCAAATATGACTGACTGAACATCACCGCTGACCATAACAGAACGTAATGAGCTTTAAAATTATAATCAGATGTGGGCGGTTATTCAATACATATTTTATAGGGATTTGATTCTCATTAACAGTATCCAAATACACGAACGCTCTAAAAGGGATGCATTGTAAACAACTTAATGATATGCATTAGCAGACCCAACGCAAAACGTGAAAAACAGGACCCTCTTTACATCTAAAAATACCGAAATTATAAATAATTCCTTCAATACTCTCTTAAAATGAATCAGTGGATTTTCAGTTGAACAGTTACAATGCAAATTAGTTAATAGTAACTGAACTAGTTAATGAATTACAAATACTAATTGAATTAGCAAATTAAAACGACGCAGAATTAATCAAGTGTTCAAATGGAATGTTAAATATCACTGTTCTATTGTAACAACTGTTGTATTAGTGACATCTTATTTCACTAGGAAGATAAGCCAAACTTCTCATTGTTTTTCTTTTAGATAGGATAAAGTTTGAAGAAAAATTATAGGCCTTATAAATTTAGCATAGAAATTGTGATACAAAACACTGTGGACTGATGACGTTATGATAGTAATAATAGTAAAGATTCAGTGTTAGTAATTGAATCATCATATAATATATTGTTACATTGATTGCCGACGGTTTTTGAGTATGCCCGTAGGCAGGGATCGACCGACGGTCGGAAACCTTTACAGTAATGTCGAGAAAGGTAATTAATCATACCCCCTGAGTGACGCATATTTACCTGCTTAACAATAGGAGTTCCGGAATTCTTAAGAAGATTAAAAATTTCTCGAAGCATTTGGTTTTCCGGAACCGAAATTGAAACCCGTTTTTCCAGTATACAGTATACATAAATTAAAGTAAAAATGTTCAAAGCTTTGTCTTTAAGGATCAAATAAGGAAAAGCAGGCGCTATCAGATTTTCCCGCAACATTCTTTTATGCAAATTACTCAAGTAGGAATTTATTGATAAAAGGAGAAAATTGGAAAAATCGAATGAAATCGGAGAACGCAAATTATGGATAGCTACGTGGGCGAATTACGCGCAGTATTTACCATTTTAAGTGCAAACGACGCTGGGGGTTTATTCAACCGTTATTCATACAAAATTATTCGTCGCGTATATCTGAAAACGCCGAACTTTAAAGCTACTGTATACAAATATGAATTATGAAAATTGTTCCTTGAAATATGCAATCAAATTACACACAATAACATCACATCATAAGAACTCGAATCAAGTTTTCGCAACTAATAAATTTATAGTTAAAATAATATTAATATTTAATGAGATGCAAACTTTTACTTAATTTGGGAGAGATTCGATCAAAATCCCGAGAAATAGGAGAATTCGAACAGTTGGAGGACAATACCAAGCCTTCGTTGAACAACGAGCGATAACCCCGCCGCGTTAAAATTTCATTAGGGAACATCCCGACTAACGAACCCTAGCAGGGCTCATTTGAATCACGGATGCATCCATTTCCGTTCATGCAGACGCAAAATAACGAGAGTGAGCTTCAACCATTTACAAATTCTAATTCTCTCCACGTATCTACATGATGATGAACATGGTGGCGTGGAGGCGCGCCGAGGGTAGCATGACGCTCGGGCATTCCTTTATTTTATCGTTCCTGTATTCACGATCGAGGCAGACATTCTCGCACTTCCTTTCACGCAAAAGTTAAAAGCCCACGTTGGTGTGAAAGGATAATTAGATGCCCGAACTTGCAGGATTAATTATGGAAATTAACATCTGTTACCTGGCGATATTTTATGACATGGACGTATGTGGACTTAAGTGAAGTTGTGAATTGTTTGTTTTATGTATAAGTGATGAGGATGATTCGATATAAAGTTCAAGAATGTTCAAAATGTACTATGTATAGTGAATGGGATGACTTCTATTACTATATTAGGGCATCTTATATGTTTATATATCGAGAAAAATGTTCTGAAAATTGTTTGGAATGTACTGTACTGTGTAAGATTTGTTCAGATTAAAATAAGTGAGAATGTGCATACTAGAATGTATTTAGGGTGACTCTCAGCCTAAAATATTCTCGAATATATAGAATAATCCCTAATTAGATTATTTTAGAGTAAGTTAGACCAGATGTATCGAGAATGTGTTGGAATGTTCGAGGAACGCAATGTTTAAATGATAGAGTTGGGGTTTGGCACTATATTCGGATGTTTTCATACATTTCGATAACTAAATGGTCTAGGAAATACTTGAAATTTCCTATAATGTTCAAAATTTCTCATGTTTGGTAGATGTATGGGTTTACGAGTCAACCACCAGCTACCAAACGCCCGTTTAGAGTAAGTAAGAATCTATCAGAATGTCCTTCCAATGTTTCTAAGGTTGCCCTTAGCTTAAGTGTTCGCAAATGTAGGATTGTTCTCAGCTAGAATTTATAAGTAATGGGGATCACTTTATATATATTCCGAGCAAAATCTTCTGAAAACTCTTAGGAATATTCCACACAATGTGTAAGATCTGTCCAATTTAGAATAAGTGGCAATGCACCTACTAAAATATTTCTAGAGTGGTCCTCAACTAGAATGCCCTCGAATATCCGAGATTGTTTTGAAGTAGATTGTTCTAAAGTGAACCCGACCGGAAGTATCGAGAACGTTCGGGAAAGTATGAAGACAATTATGTTTGACTGGTGGAATTGGGTTTAACACTAAATTTCGAACAAAGTGTCCTAAAAAATGTTTCCAATCTCCTATAATGTTCTAAATATCTCCAGTTTAATTAGTGTTTGGGTTTGCGAATTGAACACTAGACACCCGTTTATGGATAAATTAGAATTAGTTATCATTAGCTGATGCAAAATACAATTGTTTGCTTTTATAGACGGTGAAATTCAAATTGAATGTACTATAATGCGTCGAGATTAACGCGTAATAGCGTATCAAGTGCTAGGTATTTAGAATTCAATGTACGTATGTGTTAAATAATAAAATGTTTTACTTCAAGCAACAGTTTGCTTCATGCTGTATAGGTACATTTACCGAATTTTTCTTTTTCAAAACGTATAAACCTTTTTTCAGTTATTCTTGTAAATAAGGAACATGTTACTTCTGTAGTAGTAACTACTACCTGTATCATCAAAATAATATTATTATTTGAACCCAATTTGTATACATGATAAAGAGCAATTTTCGAAAGGAAAATGTCCTAACAGTAAAAAAAAAATATGCTCACTCACCATTCTCGTGTCCGTCATATGTTCGGAGTAAAGGTCCTTTATGAGCATATCCAGAGTCCTTTTTCGTTTTCTTGCAAATGTCGGTGTTTCAAAGGTTGCCTTTTCACCATTCATCAGCTTGACCAGTAGGAATTCCCTAAAAAATTGAGCGTCCTTAAAAACAGGCGGGCAGGGGAGACCCGGGCCAAAGAGAGGCACCGTTTCGTCGGAAAATACTGACAATCTGTAGTTGCCATCAGAATTCATCGTTACCACCGCAAAGACATCTAATCATTTTAAGGAAAACACAAAAATACATTTAGGACAGATAAATGCGAACGAAGAACTTGAAATCTTAATATAAAAAGTTTTAATATAACGTAACACCTAAAAATCAAAATGACTATTGTTGTAGTTTGTAAAGAAATACATTAAATTTAGTATATTAAATTATTTTTAACAAAACACATATTTACTAGTGCCCAGTGCGGGAGAATATCCAATCCTATGCTACAGCAATCAAGCTCCAATAAAAAAGATTTACAATTATACATTTTTTGAGCTCGTAATGGACCAAGAACGTCCATATCCAGTCAGTTCCATTCGGATTTAAGGTTTTCCAGAACGCGTTGTATCTCTTGTAGTCCGAAAGTTCACCGTTTTCGAGAAAAACGTAGTTGAAAGTAGAAGTAAATTCAATTACGGCCCTGGTAAAGAAATACGGTCCGCTACGCTGCACTCAATCAGCTGGTGATTACCAGCATCACTGTAGCATTTGTCTTGTATTCTGTTACTTATGTATTATTTATTTGTTAGATCAGATTAAGTGTGATTTAGTGTGTTTACTTGCCGTTTATTCTTTTAATATGTATATAAATTTTACCGAAACCTCCACAAAAATTAAAAGAATATAACACCTAATATCTTACGTTTTTCACACGTGCCTAAATGACCTGCAATTCTTCTATTTTTGAAATTCTAATTTGTGCACTTTAATAAAAGCACCAAGCTTAATTCATCGCACCGCACGGGAAGATCTACCATTATTTATTTATAATTATTATTATTATAGGTAAACGAAGTTCATGTTTCAGATATCTGCGCGTAATAAAGAGAAGATATTTGCTCAGGAGAAGAGAGAAGATATTTCCGATTTGCTTCTATTCGCAAAGTTTTTAGGCGAGGTGTATCGTGCAGAGCAATTTAACGTTATTAAGATCATAATTCTCGACACGACTTCGAGATTAAGATGTTTAATTTTCTTAAGCAACGAATTAGTTAATAATTTGCAAGACATAACAATTCACAAAGGAAGTATATCTACAGCATATAATTAAGGTATTTTTTTCTTTTGTTCAGTTTGAGATTGGGTAAATAAATACACAACAAAAAACTACAAAATACATCGCTAAAAAGTCATTTTAGACACCAAAGCATGTCTTTATTATCCTCAATTGGAATAAAAATAAGTAAACTGATCCTACCGATAGATGTGGCATCTGACAACCACTGAACTATTCTGGAATTATTGCGATACTGTATACATAGGCCAAAGTGCAAGTTACATTCGAAAATACATCTCAGAACTCAACTAAAAAAGATAATAATAATTTATCTGGCTTTTTAGATTATATTATTCTTTAAATTTTAAACATATTTAATTTTTCCTGTCTGTATTTATGGTTCGTGCAGTAAACGTTTCGTTAATCGTATAAGCACGTTGTTTTTCGTTTAGAGACTAATTTCGCCCTTTGGTGTGATCTGAAATCTTTTCACGAAGTCGTTAAGAAAGCAAAATGCTGAAAGATGTTCTTTTTTGATTTGGTAATCAACTAACTCCGGGCCTGCGAAATAAAAAATTTTCTGTTCGTTTAGAAAATTAGAGAAGCGTGCTAAACCGAGTAAATTATTTCTTGAGAAAAATAAAGAAAGACAGGCGGTATAATAATAAAAAGCAGCGTTCGGAGAAAATTTCCCCCAACGAAATTTTCAGATAACAAAATAATAAGGCTTCTTGAGAATTATCCTTTTCTGTCAGCAATAGGAAACCACATGCTAAAAATTTCAGGAAAATAGAATTTCTCGAGAAGGTTGAACCGATTGAAAAACCAAAAGTGATATTTATCGTAATGAACCAAAAGTTTGACGACATATATTCAAATCTTAATTATAAATAGGTACTATACCTTCACACATACTTAATGAAGCTAAACCCATCTCATGCTTAATTTATAGTGTTCTGTAAGTCAAAATTAATTAATCAATGGTGAGTAAAAGAAGAAGATACAATCTAAGGCCGGTCCTGAGCATGAATTGGAAAAATAATTACATTGATGGAAAATGTAAACAGTGCCGGCTGTGAAAAGATTAATGACGTAAATATCAACAGCGTAACATCACCACACTTAATTAATTAATTAATTAACAAATAGCATGAGTACAAAACTTTAGAAAAAAACAACACGGATGCTGCTAATTGTCAGCTGTTTAAAACGACGTTGCTTTGTTGCATTTCTTTTCCGGGTCGGAAGTACATTTGCCTGTACTTTGAACTATGTTTTTCTCGAAAACGGCGAAATTTCACATATAGAAGCATTTACTTAATTTTCTTATTTTACCACTTCCTGTAAGCTTGTTATTTCTGATAGCCAAGCACTTGGTTAGAATCAAAACAATTTCCACGTTTTCGAAAAAGGTTGTTAAAGGTGTATGTTTGGAGCACGGCGTTGTACGGGTGCGAAACATGGACAGTGGGTGCGGCGGAAAAAAAAGCCTTCGAAATGTGGTGTTATAGGCGAATGATGAGGATAACGTGGGTAGAAAAGGTTAGAAATGAAGAGGTATTAGAAAGAATAGGAGAACAGAGAACTCTAGAGAGGTAGGTTGGTAGGACACCTTCTCAGGCATGAAGGTCTAGTCAGAGACATATTAGAGGCAGAAGTAGGAGTTAAAAGGGGTAGAGGTAGACGTAGGTTAGATTACTGTTCGCAAATAGTTAAGGATGTGGAATGTTCTAGTTTTAGGGAAATGCGAAGTTTAACTCATCAAGATAGGAAAGAGTGGAAGTACGTGTCCAACTAGTCTTAAGACTGACGACCTTATGATGATGAATGTTTTTCAAATGTATACTACGAATGTGATATCGCCCGCCTCTCGCTCAACTTAAGGTTCATGTCATTCTAAACTGCCTATACCTAGGAAGCTACAATTTATATTAGTAGATGAAAAAATTAGCCGTTTTTAGAATTTGAGACATTCCACTTTTTGTAACAAGTAGTACTACCACACTGATTATGATTTCTTTGCTTAATACACTATACAACGTAACTGAAGCATGAAAAGGATACGCGTAAAATGCGATTTGATCCAGTTCGGATTAAATCCTGCATGTGCGTCAGCTTCCGTTTCAGGATCGTCGTCTTCGTCCGTTTCAATGAACACAATGTTGACGATGTCGTTGCCAATGTGCCGTTTGCGTTCCACCTGCTGTTTGTTGTCCTTCGAATAGGGCAAAAGAGTCGAAACGTGGAACATTATCTCGTGCCCCTCGTACATTGTATAGACGGAATACTTCCCGGTCATGTCGCCTGTGAAGAAATGAAATCAAACTACGGTAAGGGTGACATTTAGGTGTGTGTGTGGCAATGAATTTGGCGCACCTCCTTTTAGGGGTCATTGAACATTGAGGCATCTATTTTTGTTTTAATAATATAAACAAAACACAAACCGTTTACTTATATCGCGGCATGGCTCCGAAAAATGTACCGGATACAACAGTGAAATGTAAAGGACCTGTCCGAATTCTACGAGATCTGTTCAAAAAGTATCGCGAACTTTGAATTTCCGCTGGTTACGTGTATTCGATTTTCGATTTTTCTGTGGCGTTACGTTGGTACTCATGTCTCTCACTTATATCGACAAGTTCGGTAATGTTGAATCTTCAGTTAATTTTTGAGAGCTAATTTGCTTGAACGTGTTTTGGCTCGTCTTCCATTTTTGCCTATTCCAAAAAATGAAAAAAAAACTTAATTGCGCGGACACATTCCAAATGTTGGCTGTGGCATATAGTGAAGCTACCTTGGACCGAAGCAACGTTTATCGGTGGTACAAAATGTTCTCAGAGAGCCGAGAACATGCAAATGACGAAGAGCGTGCCAGACGCCCTAACACGTCAACAACAGACGAAAACATTGATGAAGTGAAGAAAATAGTATTGGCCAACCGTCGAATCACTATTAGAGAAGTTGCTGAGGATCTGAACATGTCGATTGGCTCCGGCCATTCAATTTTTACCAGTGATTTGGGCATGAGACCGGTCGCCGCGAAATTCGTCCAAAATTGCTCAATTTCGACCAAAAGCTGCATCGTATTAATATTGCTAAGACGCTGTTGGACTCTGTCTGCGACGACCCAAAATTGTCCCAGAAGGTCATAACTAGTAACGAATCATGGGTTAATGGTTATGAAGAGGAAACCAAAGCTCAATCATCCCAATGGAAGCTGCCGCACAATCTAAGACCGAAAAAAGCGCGCTAAGTTAGGTCGAATGTAAATGTTTTGTTTACAGTTTTCTTCGATTGCAGGGGCGTGATGCATCATGATTTCTAGCCATGGGGTAGAACGGTCAATAGGGAATATTACCTGCAAGTTATGCATAATTTGCGCGAAGAAATCCGCCAGAAACGCCCGGATTTGTGGAAGAAGAGAAATTGGCTTTGCACCAAGATAACGCCCCTGCTTACATATCGTTGCTTCTGCGCGAATTTTTTGCCAAAAACAACATACTAATAATGCCGCAGCCACCATATTCCTCAGATCTGGCCCACTGTGACTTTTTCTTGTTAAATGATTTTTTGAAATGCTTCGGGGATTGGAAAAAACGTTGGTACAATTGTATAATATCTAGTGGGGATTACTTTGAAGTGGACAAAATAATTATTCATGAATAAATAAATAATTTTTGAAAAAACAAAAAATTAGCGACACTTTTTGAACAGACCTTGTATAGAAACTATTTGGGTTTTGCGTTGAATATGCGTGTTTCCAGTGAACATCACTTGTGGTCACTTGTGGTCTCTTTGTGGTCATTTATTCCATTACCAAAATCACCATCTTCTACTCATGTAAAATTTTTTAAATTTTCGTCATTAATGATACTAATAATCACAATTTTTAGAGAAATGCACCAAATGTAACGACCAAATTGGTCCCTACTCTTTAGATTAGCTTTTACCATTTTACTAAATGTATCTAGAAACTTCAATGCAACAGAAATTCTATTTTCCTAATAAATCTTGATGAACTATTTCTCTTGTATATGTAGGTATATCAGTTTTGGAAGGACGGGATCCTGTTTAATGTTAGTTGTAAAAAACGTCACATATACATATTATAAACCTAGGTGCACAGACTTATAAAAGCGAGAGAAATTCAATTGTTGAAGTTCAAATCATGCCTCAAGAGAATTGAATTTAATTTTCACTTACATGCTTCACGCTAATTAGTCTGAGGAAGGATATGAACGAAAATTCTCAAAGCAAACAAACGATGCGAACTGCATTCAAACAGATGTACTCATTGTAAGTAAGCACACGCTTATCTTCTGATGGTGATGACTGACTTAATAAAATCATTCTGTACATTACTAATTATTATTGTGCATCTACAATCTCGCTGTGATGATATTTCGAAACGGGAGTGTACTTAATTGCAGGGCCTAGATAAGTTCGAAATCTTGGGTTCAATATTTTTTTTACGTTGATATATGGTCAAAATGTATTTAAACACATTGAAGTGAAGTAAGTATTGTATTAATTTTTACCATTACAGACAACCACAACGTTTAGGTATAGACCGCGATAGAACAATTTTGAAATCTGAAGTGAACGAATTGTAGTTTATAACCTCTTCGTTCATAATAAATCGAATTGGTAAATTCTGATCGGACCATTTGGTGTTATTACTCTCAAGAGTAAACTAGTAACGCGACAAATTTTACTATCTGCCTGTTTAAAGTTCACATGGTATGCTATAGTTATAAAATTTATTTACTTTCAGCAACTTCGGATCTGCCTTTCGTCTCGAAATGACGTCATGCGCGTGCAAGAGCGATTTTGGTCGAAAAAGTTGATAACAAAGCATGATTAGTTGTACGTATATGAAAGACCATTTGGACGAGGTAGTATAGCGAATGATGTTATTCAATTAGAAAACGGAATTATTTCTTTTTTATGTTAAGAAATAGAATAAAGGCCAAATGAATTAAATTTAGAAATATTCTTTCAGTCTCTACACATTGCCTTGATTGTTTCTTTGTCTCTAGCGTACAATAAATAATATAGATTTATTATTCACTAAATGTTATCAATTGGCATCACAATTCACCAGCATCATGCTAAACGAGCCCTTAACGTTCCCTCAAATATTCATTCTTTCACACACTTGATCGATTGAAATCAACGACGGTATCCATCTTACTAAAAGCCTTTTCATACCGATCTTTTTATCTACAATTTATCCAAAAGATTCTTTTGGTAGCCAAACTATGTCAGCTAGGCCAGATGATCGAGCATAACAGGAACACGAATATTTTCAATTATTTCTTTAAGTGATGATGTCGGTAAAAAAAAAAATACTAGAATACTTTAATTAAATTATTTTTTTTGTGAAGCAAATTTATTATTCTTCTTTTTTCGATTTCAAAATTTATATTTAATTAATATGCGAAATGTACTAACACTATGCACAACAGACGTACCTAGCTTTTGTTTGGGTAGTTGTTACTGAAAACTTTATCAATGTTGTCTAAATAAAGGATCATATCTGACCCTCGAAATTTGGAGCGATATTATGTAGGTATCTATTCTTATTTAATTAAATTTGTCTTTTTCCATTTTTAACTCATGTGTTATAATTTACACGCGTACATCATCACTGCGAATCACAGTCATACAAATGAGAAAACAGCCTACTTTGAGGAACTTTTATGAAATCGTAAAGGCACTATAAAATTCTTTATGGTTCACATCAAACTATCCTAATAAATTAAAGGAATTGTCATCATAACCACAAAATTAGAACTACTAATATAAGATGATTCGGAAACAAGAGATTGTTAAACTCGAAAAGATTTTAAGGTTAATTTAACGTCTTGTAGGATTTTTGTCCTTATGTGCTTCTAAAAATAATATGTGAGTTACCTTTAACGTCAAGTCCGCCTCTGTATTTATCCCAACCTTTTAGCCGAACCTTTTCTCCAACTAGAGTTAAGAAATTTTCAAACTTTTGACTACCAACTTCTGAAAGAAACAAAAACAACCATTTAATAACTTTATTCTTCCATCAAATTATCTGAAAACAAGAAAAAGAAAATACAATCACAATATTTCGTACCATTGCTAAGGATTTCATCGTCACTGTTCTGACCCATCTTCATATAAATAATTCCGAATTTGAAATTGACTGATCCTTCCTGTTCTTCTAATAGGAGCAGATCCTTTTGCAAGTCTGGCGAAAAGATTTCCTTCGGACCTTTCTCAACTTTGTCCATGTTGGGAAAATTAGAAAGTATCTGTTTGACGGAGAGGATTTTATTTTGGGAATAAGGCAGAGAGATTTTCTGCGCTCCCTATAAAAAAATAATTAAGTTACTTAGCCTTGTTATCATTTCGCTACTGAAGAAACATAACGGCTTTAAGTTACCGCTGTGCAAGCTAAATCTTTTCGGAGATGCGACAGCGCCCGAGGGTTCTCCATCATTAAATATTTTTATCCGTGTATCGTTATTCGTAAGAAAACTCAGGAATCTCCTGTTTGTACTTTTTTAATTAGATACGTTTATTATTTCGTAACCTCGAAAAAGAGTTTTTCAACCCTTTATTGCAAAGTAGCTTTCAATTTCTTATTCTATATTTTAAACTTTTGTATACATATACCTAAAGGACAATAATAAGAAACTTGTTTCAAATATTTCAATTCATGATTCTATACTTAGTCATCAGCCCGGAGATCTCGAACGGCTCTTTGAAATAGTGAATCATACATGAACGACACATAAATGACCGCATGACAAAATTATTTCGAAAGTTTTCCACAAAAATGAAGACTTAATCTGGAAAATAGGATGATAGCCAGTCGTTAAAAAACCTTAGGAATCTCCTGCTACTGCTGTTTCAATTAGGTACGTATATTATCCAAAATTTAACAAAGATAAATTTTCTATCTTTAGGTCTTTGTTTGGTGTCGCATCTGTTTTAATATTTCATACCACGAAAAGGAACTTTTCAACCCTTTATTGTTAAATAGCTTTGAATTTCTTATTCTATATTTCAAACGTTTGTATAACATATACCTAAACAAGAATAATAAGAAACATGTTTCAAATATTTCAATTCATGGTAATATACATAGTCTTTAGCCCGGAGACATGTATCTCCATTTCTGTCAATTAACGTATCGATTACTGACGGCTCTTTTATAAAGTTCGCTGTATAAACCAATGGGCTACGATTGATAGTCGGTAATCTTTACATTAAAGATACAGAAGACGAGAACGGCTTTTTCGAGAAAGTAAATCATATATCAACGACACATAAATGACCGCATGACAAAAGAACTTCGAGAACTTTGTAGAAAAATCATGAATTAATCTGGTAAACTCGATGATAGTCATTCCTATAAATACCTTAGGGATCTCCTGTTAGTGCTATTTTAATTATGTACGTATATTATCCAAGACTTCACAAGGATAAAACTTAATAAATACCTGTTGTTGCCTTTTTAAATAGGGACGTATATTATTAAAAATGCCGAAGGCAAGATCAACTCGCCTCGAGATAATATATCATTTGTGAATGACACATAAATGACTGCGTGACAAAAGAATATCGAGAGCGTTTTAGAAAAATGAAGACCTAATCTGGAAAACTCGATGATGGTATTAATAAACAATTGACCTTTGATGGAAGTCCATTGGTACATGGGAATACAAGATGTATATGGGGTGATATAGATGTAGTATCAAATGAGAAAGAATTTATCTATGAATTACAGAGTGAGATAAACAAGAGGTAGTTAAGCTGCCTAGTCAGTGTTATTGTATAAAATAAATTACTCTAGTATAATATAATCGCATGAGTCAAGATTTTTTCACCTGGTTCGTACAGACTGTGCTGATGTCGTAGACGTGATAAACAATAAAATAAATTTTTGATCAAAATCGGTTAATCCAATCCGATTAAAATTTTTTTTTGATATCCACGTTTTTCTTTTATAATTCGAAAACTAGTTTGAATTGGAAGCTAAGACTTTCGAGACATTAGTAGTTCTATACTGCTAACAAATCCTGAGAATTTTGATCCAGTATCTACTGAGGGCAATTTTCTTGTTTCCCTATGCCCTTTCATTTGAGCCTTTATTATTTATAGAGTTCGTTCTACCTTAAAGTTTTTATGATCGAATAGGAAACAACAAGCACCGAACTTAGTGAATAACCTCGTCTACCCATTCTATGCCCTTTCCGTAATTTTTATTGGAAAAGTTTCCGTCAAGTGAATCCTCGAAGGGTTGGATTGAAAGAAAACGATTCTATCATTCGACCACAATTTGAAATGGAAAATTTTATTGCCTTCGTCTTGTTTTTTCAAAATTGCTTTTAGTTGACCGTCTATATCACGTAGATGCAGACGACTTTATTATGATCAAAATCAATACAGAAAGCGTGAGGATTACTTATTATAACTAGGATTGAGCGATTATTAAATTTGGCAATCGATTATATTATCGACTGTATTCTTAAAATTACTTTGATTCCTCGAAAATTTTGAATTATGTAAGAAAATCGATTAATTCGATTAATCCGTACTCCTAGCTAAATTAATCAGAATAATCGATTATCTAAATTAATCGATCTAATCGAAACGTTACTGTATCGAACATTGCTTCAGTATTGACCACCCCTAGGTTTAGAATTATGGCTGCAATCCAAGACAGAATCAAGTGTATCTTTTTATTTTTTATGAGTTTTTAGTCGCCCTGAATTTTCCTTTCTTTGTTATTTCGCCTTGATAAAAACGATGAGAACAACGACCTTAATGGCTATGTTTTTAAAACTTCTATGATAGAGAAAAAACAAGTTATTCTTTAAAATTTTTAGTTGTAAATATAGCCTCGCAATTATAATTTTTAATTTAACTGGGCGCATCGCTCGCAAGCGTGAATTAATGAGAAAATGAGCAATTCGAACATTAGACTGCTCTAGTGTTTGAACTGTCAATTCGTCGTACATGCTTTTCCAGACATTTCGTGCTATACAAAAGTCAGTATCAATCTAGTTTTCTATTAAAAAACCTAGGGCATACTGTTTATCGTAATTTTAAGGGTTGAAAAATGAAAAGCTAAAACTGGCTTTATAATGAATTTAACTACGAGGGTGGATTGATAAGTTTCCGGCCTGACCAAGAAAAACAAGGTTTTTAAAAATTTTTTTTTTTTATTTCTCAACATAATCTCCTCCAAGGCTGATACATTTCTCATAGCGGTGTTCCAGTCTATTAATGCCATCTCTATAGACTGATTCGTCAAGCTCCTCAAAATAACCATTTACAGCTTCGATTACTTCTTCATTGTCCGCAAATCTCTTACCGCCAAGCCATTTTTTGAGATTAGGGAACAGAAAATAGTCACTCGGGGCAAGGTCTGGAGAGTAAGGAGGGTGCGGCATCAATTCAAACTTTAGATCGTTGATTTTAGCCGTCGCAACGATTGACGTGTGCGCTGGTGCGTTATCGTGATGAAACAAGATTTTTTTCTTCGCCAGATGAGGTCGTTTAATTTTCACCTCGTGGCTCAAACGTTGCAATAAGTCTGCGTAGTATTGACCAGTGATAGTATTACCCTTTGCAAGGTAATCAATGTATATAATACCTCTTGCATCCCAAAAAACAGTAGCCATAACCTTGTTCGCCGAAAAAATTGTTTTTGCCTTCTTGAGTTGGTTCCCCTGGTCCAATCCACTGTTTAGACTGTTCTTTGGTTTCAGGAGTGTAGTGGTGGACCCACGTTTCGTCAACGGTTACGAATCGACGCAAAAATTCGCTTGGATTACGCTTATACAATGACAAATTTGCGGTAGAAATGTTTTTTCGAATCAATTTTTGGTCGACTGTTAGCAAACGCGGCACCCATCTTGCACAGAGCTTTTCCATATGCAAATGTTGGTGCAAAATATGTTGCACACGTTCATATGACATCTTACAGGTCTCAGCTATCTCACGCACTTTCAATCTGCGGTCTCCCAGCACTATTTGATGAATTTTTTCGATCATATCTGGAGTTGTGAGCTCAACGGGGCGTCCTGAGCGAGGCCCATCAGAGGTGCTCACACGACCCTTTTTAAACTCGGAAACCCACTGCTTAACGGTTGAATATGACGGGGAGGATGTCCCCAGTGTTGAGTCCATCTCTTTTTTAATTTCCTTCGGCGTTAACCCCTTCAAATAAAAGTATTTGATGACAGCACGATTTTCCTGCTTTTCCATTTTTACGAAAACCACAGAGGCGTCTTGTTCAGCGTGCTGTCAAACCTACACTAGCAAGGAGATCGGGCTGAAACTATAGCTACAAGCTATCCAAGGATGGTACTATAGAATGTCACCTCAAGGTAGGCCTAGTGGCGTCATCTCTTGGTTAGGCCGGAAACTTATCAATCCACCCTCGTACATGAATCTTAACTTTAGGTTCATTATTAATCCAGGAAATGCAAGTTTTCAATCCATTCCGCATATCTTCCCTTTCGTTGGGATGTGAGTAAGTAAGCAAAAAATCTAGGCACTTAAGAGCTGCAAGGTTGGTGGTGGTTATTTAGACAAATATAAACCTTCTAATCTTTAAGTGTATAGACTTTTTGCTTAGACAAATCTTCAATACTGTCAACTTTTCCTTGTTACATTCAACATTAATGCCCTGCGAATGTTTTATTTTTTTTAATCGACTTTTTAATTAAGGTGTAATAGATTAAAAAATCCCCCTGACTTTACTTTTGCGAATATAAAATTGCTCCAGCTGTACCGATTTTATTATACTTAATATAATTAGCAAGAAAAAGATTAAACCCGTTATTAATTTTCTTTATATCCACGAATAGAAGTTGTTTTTATGAAAGAAAAATACTGGCGATAAAATGGAAAAAAAAAGGAGTGAAAATATTTGTGAATTTATAGCCCAATTAGAGGGAAAATAACGTCCTAATTCCTCACTGCTTAATTGTTTGAAGTCATAAATAAACTGATTTTAATAAATTTTGTCATTAAGTAGAAAAGTATTTGTTTTCTTTTAAAGTAAAAAAAAAATTCTACAATTTGAGAACCTTTTTAAAAACGGGATTTGTGGTTACTTACAGTTTTCTTGAACAGTATCGCCCTGTAGAGCGGCACGCACTGATTGGAGTTTTCATTTAATACTACGCTAAGAAAAAAGGGCTCTTTGTCACAGTCTAAGCCAATGTAGTTTTGATGCACTGAAACCAAAAGAAAGAAAAAATATTCAGTTTTAATAAAAAGTCACACTTTCAAACTATTTATTTGTAAAGTTGTTACTCAGTTGAATAATCTATTAACTTAAATTTAGAGTTTTGATAAATGTAATTTCAGAAAAAACTTGAAAGGAAGACAACGATAATTACATTTATTTAATTTCCTAGTTATATTGTACAAAGATAGATTGATAAGTATTGAGATGCACGTGGTGGCATATAGTTGTTGTAGTTGTGAAACTTGCAGATATTTTTTGAAGTTTTAAACCGCTTTATACAGTGCAGGTACTGCTGATGGTGGGCAAAATAAAACAAAGATTAAGAATGCAGCTCGCAGATTTCTACGATTTACCAAAAATATTGAAATGATTAGAAAACTACTCAGAAGGCGAATAAGTTATCTCAATATGTCTAATATAACTGAAAAGTGACCAGACCCAATTATCAAACAAGTTGGTTACCATAAAATCTGTAGAACCCCGTAGGAAAAATTTTCCATTGTAGTTCAATGGGAATCAATGGAAAATTTGTAAATTCCATTCAAAACCATTTGATATAAATGGAAAAATAATTGTTTCCATTTACAATATAATTCCATTAATATTTACATAGGAAAAATTTCCATTGATTTTCAATGGGAACCAATGCAAAATTTATAAATTCTATATAAAACCATTCATAAATAAATAGATAGATAAATAGAAAATCAATTGTTTCCATTTTGAATAATTCCATTAATATTCTTAGATATGAACGGAAAAGTTTTATTTCCCAAAGAATTCCAATGAAATAATTAATTAAGAAATGAAATATTTTTTGGTTTTTGAATTATTTATTTATAAAATCTGTTTCGTTACATGGATTTTAGTTTCATAAGTCTCGTTCGAAACGATTAACAATAGGTGTGATTAATTTTTGTATGTTATTTAATTATGAATGAGATATTTGCATGCGTACACATTTAAATTGTGTATTATTAAATGGTGTCAAAAATATATCCATCCACTATTTTCAAGTCATAAACCGGCTGACAGTATATTATTCTTACGAATAGTATCAGGGTAATTCGTTTATTATAACCATTAGTGGCCACATACTATTAGCCTTTTTCGATACAGTTTTTGCTTGCTTAGGTGCAAGAGCAGTGATATTGCAAATTAGGTGGTGGAAAATCAATAATCTAGTTTTATGCGTGCATGTTGGGGGTACGTGAGGGACCACCACGGCAGTAGAGTGAGAGACAAGCAAGGTAGTAAAACGTTTGATTAAAGCGGTATATTTCATTTAGACGTTGAGCATTTTTGCTCAAAAAAGACGGAAAACATATTTATGGTGATTATACGAATACGTATATATTTTGGAAGACGCCATACATTGAATATTGTATATGAGTTGTATATATTTAGTTCCTGTTTGTTACTTGTTTTGCTGTTTGCTGTTTATATTCATTATTATGTTTATTATATATGTATTCAACTATCCGAAGCCTATTATTAAACAACCCCTAGACAAGTGAAAAAGCCTACATTAGAAGCTTTGTTTGAAGATTTTGAAACATGCCAGAGTATAGAGGAGGCCGAAGTTATCTGTGAGAGTGATGTAGTTTTATCAGAAGCAAGTGAAAAAAAAATCTAAACACAATGATGAAGAGCCAGACATCCAGGGACGTGCCTTGGTTCAGGTACCTGAAGAACCAAATTCTCAACAAAATAATATGGATTACGGAAAAAGGCATGCTGATGAAGTTCCAATGGAACGCAATGGGATTTCCATTGAGTTCGGCAATGGAATTTCCATTGCCTTCAGAACTGGTAATGCCATTGCGTTCAGCAATGGAAATCCCATTGAGTTCGGGAAAGGGAATCCCATTGGCAATTCTCCATTTATTATCATCAATTATTATCAGCGGTAATTAAATGGCATTTTTTTAATGGAAATTGAATGGAAATTTTTCCTACGGGACCCGATGGTTACAACCAAAATTTATTAGTAAACCATTGTTTAAATCAATTCTGCAACCGCTATATTGTCCTGATTTGGCTCCGTCCGACTTCCACTTTTTTTCCCTCCCCAGGAGGCATTTCACGGACGATTATTACACCACCGACGTTACGGAATACAAAAAATTATCACACGTTCGAAGGCATACTTCAATGTAAACACAGAGATAATATTGAAAAATAAATTCTACATTTTGTAACAAATTACAACCCCATCCTTTCTCTCCCCCTTCCTTTTATTATCCATTATCTAAATTCAATACGTAGACTGAATTCGTTTCGTCGCACCTGTATTAGGTACTTAGTACCAAAAAAAGATAGTAGCAATTTAGAAATAGCGCCTTCAATTACTTAAGGGTGGAAACAAAGAAATTTAATAAGAATATCGATACAAGTTAAGAGCTTGAAGTTTATGTTGGAACTAATTGCAATTGGAAAGCGTACCAAACTGGTTTCTACGATTTTACAAAGCACTTCAATTAATTTCCGTAGAATTCAATATTGTTAGAGTTTTTGTTTTTGCTACATTTATACCAAAGTAGATTACGAAAACATAAAACATTTTCTGAATGGCTTTAGATTAGTAAGATGGACTAGGGTTAATTGAAACATTTTTGATAAATAAAGTCGATTACTGCGACTGTACTTCAATTTCGATGCAATTGTCAATGTACTTCAATTACACCCTAATCAACTGTGTATAAACGGATAATAATTGCTCTTACTTCATATGTATCAATGAATCACTTGGACAAGTTTAAATGAAACAGTAAAAAATGGGTCAATTGAAACAGTATTTGGGGCTAGTTGAAAAATAGTCAGTACTTTTTCATACTCGGTATACTGCTTGTACCCATTATTTAGCCAGTTAGACGTTCTGTAGGTATTTTCATTGTTTAATATTCTTTCTTATATGACCCTTCAATTAGACATAGGATACATAGGATGATCAAGATAGGTAATAATATTCAGTTAGTTAATGATTGTCTTAATTAATTATTTTCGGAATTTTATTATTATTTGTTCCATCGATTATAGGTACCCACACAGAATCCAGAATGCAAAATTAAAAAATGTAACAAGACTGCGGATGGTGTTTACCACACCGCTTGTAGTAATTCAGCCTAATACATCATTAAGCCTAATAACCAAGTCGTTTCCACTATTGAAGACCGACCGGCATGGCCTAGAGGTTTAGACCATTGCTTAGCATTCAGGAGAACGCCGGTTCGATTCCGGGTCCGCCTGCCTTGGTCCAATTTTTCTGTGGTTTTCTTGGATCACTTAGGCAAATGCTGAGGCAGTAATATTCCACAGATAATCTTTCATTCTGTTCTGTCTTCATTTCGTCCGTCTCATCTTTCTCACCCGATTCACCCCCACCCATTACTACAATTTCTGAAAGGAGGCTGAAGATGGGTCTTCCGCTCTACCTTTCGGCATAGTCCGGAGGGACTACCCACTCACCGGCATTACTAGCTGATGGGAATAAAACACCCAAAAGTTTTTTTTTTACTGTTGAAAGTGAATCTACGATCTATAAGTATAAATAGAAATAAAAAGCTGTTCATTCTCTTTAAAATGGCTGGACCGATTTAACTAATTTTTCTTAAATGTTTATGGTAAGCCAAATAAAATTTGTCATGAAAATCGGAAAATTTGGGAAAACTGATTCTAATGGATTTTTCCAATAGCTTTTCGAAATTCATAAAACGATTACAACTGAAATTTGGATAGGCTAGTTCTTAATAAAATTTTGTTGAATTCCTAGAGTCAAACTTTTTCTAGTGGAAACGAATTGGAAATTATAGGTATAAAGGTTAACCCAAGCAGCGATAGAACCTGTAACCTAATAGAATACACGTAAAGCCGTTCCTTTTCGATAAATGTACTTTTTCGTTTTCAGGTGATTACACTAACGTGTTCGACGTAAATTGCCTTTTTCCTTTCACTTCACTCATTCACGAGGGAGTGAGCATTCCACGAAATAGTTTTTCTTCTAAGTGATAAGAAAGTAAAGAGCTGTGGTTTTGTACATGGGCGTGTAGAGTTGAATTATGTACTGATATACAGAGGTTACAATATCTGGTTGCAACTGGTAGTATGTACTGAACACGGGCGTTCTTATTTTCATTTCTCGACACCCTATATATCGATGCACATTCGACAAAAGGGACTACAATATTTTTCTTTTAATACAGATCCTTCTAGTCGCAGTTTTAATGTAAGTAACACGAGCAAATGACCTCTATTAAATAAATTCGCACCTCCTCAATTCGTGGATATAGTGACTGATGCCACTTAGCCAATGTAAAGCAGTCAATAAATTCTTTAAATCTTTTCTGTCAGATGTTTCCATTATCTCCAATATTTCGAGTAGAATTCACATTAAGTTTCTGCAATAAAACGATCGATAACCTCCACGAAGTACTCATTTAAATCGTTGAATATCTAGATCTATGCAAGTACATAGAGGTTAGGTGAACCCAACTATTCACTTTTCGACACTCTGTATACCGATGCAGGAGGTACACGAACGAATAGCATCGATTAACTAAATTCTCACCTCCTCAGCACGTAGCAGTTCTTGGTCAGTGCAAAACCGTCAATAAATGCTTTCAATCTTTTTCCGTTGACGAATCAATTTAATTTAAGAGTGAGGAATTTCGATTGCTTCCAATATTTTGAGTGGAGTGATTTGAATAGAAATTACATCATTTTAAGAATCAAATTAAGTTTCTACAATAAAACTTTCAATAACAGACACGACCACAAAATAGGCGTTGAAATCGTCGAAGTCCACATCTATGTGGAAAAGTCGTTGTAAAGCGAAGCAATTTTAATTCAAAACTTTACGGAAAACGGAAGCGTAATTAGCATGTGTGAAAGCACGTCGGTAAAAGTCCGATTACTATCAGCACCCGCCAGAATTAAATTTTCTAATAAACAACAAAATAAAAGCGTTACATTGTACTAATAAGAAAA